GCATGAGAAGCCTCGGCAATGAGGACTTCATGACCTCTTAAGGGAGATGAGATGTGCACCCAAGGGACAGTACAAATCAGTGTGTGGAATGGACCAGCAGGGGCAGTGCATGAAGCAGTGAGGAAGCCTGGAGGAGGAAAGAGTCCCCAGGAAATCAAGGAAGGCCTCAAGGAGAAGGTGATATTGGTACTGGGTGTTGATGGATGGGTAGGATTTTTGACGGACTGAGTTATGGGAAGATGGCTTTTCAGTCAAAGGAAAAAAACCCAGAGGAAACAAAAGATTTGAGAGACAGAGACACTCAGAGTGGTTTGGGGGAGTGGCAAATCATGAAATGGAACTGAGCGTCCATCATCCATCAAAACAGAGAGAGATCAGATGGAAACTGGATATTGAGAAGAGAGGGCGTTTCTGTTTTGCATATGGTTATGTGGATTTTATTAGGAAGATAAAGAGAGTTGTAGGGTTTGGAATTGGAAAGCGGCATAATCAAAGCTGAACCTTTGGAGAAAATGGGGACTAAAGGGGGTGGCTCTAGGGGTGAAGAGACCAGCGAAGTGGCTGTTGTATAACTCAGCCTGGAGAGCAACTGTGAGGCTCTGGCAGGGCCTTGAGCACCCACTAGGTGTGGGAATGAAGGGAAGAAAGGAGAAAAGAATGACTGAAGTGCTGTGCTTCGGTGACAAGCATGGTGGAGGCACTGAGAGAAATGTGAGGGACAGAAAGAGGAGGGGCTTTAGCAAAAGGATGTATTTGGTTCAGAATTCACTGCATTTAATGTGCCAGGGGAATGAACTGGAGTATGGGTTTCTAAAACCACCTCCACTGCCTGCTTTTGAGATTTTTCAGCTGTTCACATAACAGGACGAGTTAGTAAGAAATATCGGACACTTCCGCAATACTGATGCTGCCATCTCCTTCTCTAATCCCTGAAAACAGAGGGCAACCTTGTGTTTCTTGAAGCCCACGAAGAGTAATTCTATGGGATTGTCCCAATAAAAAGGGATGCAGGGAAGTCCCCCAAAGAGGAGGAGCAATGAAGAGGGGGCTGCTGAGGGTGGAACCTGGGGTTGGTGGCCCCTTCCTTGCAATATTCAAAAGGAATTGCTACTAGAAGCACCTAGGGAGGCGGCACCAGGTCCCCAGGCTCGTAAAGACCCCGACATCTCAAGCTTGGCACCGGTGCTGGGCTGATAGCAAGGACAGAGCGTGCTGCTGTGTGGTTTGTGCAGAGAAGAGAGGGCCTGTGTGAGGCTCCGGGGCTGAGTGAAGGTTGGAAATCCTCTCGCTTGGAAGAGGGGTGCACTTTTCTTCCAACAAAAGCACGATCTACTCCTAAACTGTGTCCTGGAAGCTACCACTGCTGGGGGCCACCTTTTAAACATTGCACAAAGGGTCTGTAGAGGAAATAATGGCTCACCACAGAGCAGGAGCACACCCTGCCCCAGACCCCCAAAAGAGGAAAACGTGATTCCTCCTCTCCAACTCCCACACTTGAATTCTTGTGTGACCCACAAAGCCCAGGACTGATTTTCCTGGTACTCTGGCAAGTAGGAGTTCAGAGTCAAATTAATTTTATTTAGAGAGGAAGAAGTTTTAAAGTTTTAAAAGTACCTTAAAAATAAATTAATGTGCTATTTCTCCTGGCCAGTGTTGTAGAACAAAATCTGCCACTGTCTGTTTGGTATGTTGAGTTGCGTAAATTTCTCTCATAGCTGGGGGGCTGCAAACACCACCTAGAGTCACGATTCCTTCATCCAGGCCTGAGCAGAAGGTCTTTCTCCTGGTGTCCCCCTTGAACATGGACTTTGCTGGGCCCTTCTCTGCTGTTGTCTCTAAGTGGAGTTGAAGGGGACTTCCCAGGACCCCCTGACAGGTGCAATGACCTGGATTCACTGCACTTGTCTGTTTAATTGAGTTATCCTGTGAGGGCTGGAGGCCGCTGCCCACACTGCACACATATTCATCAAGATTTCACTGCTGCCCGGGGATGGAAGTGATCCTCCAGGGTGGCAGCAGGCCGCAGGGAAGCAAATGTCCCGCAGCAGAGAGCTTGACAGACAGAGTGCCAGATGGTGGGGCTGAGAGCCAGGGCTGCACAGTGGCCCAGGAGAGCTCCAGAAAGCTCCCGCAGGTGGCTTGCTGGGGTCTGAGAGCATGGAGACCACCCTGCTCCCTGGATGAACGACCAGATAAACAAGCCATTCCTTTGAGGCCGCCACCACTTAGCAGACTCCACATGTGGATAGGGACAGCACCAACCAATCTAAGGGGGATATCTGGAGATTGTTCTTAAAGCATAAGATAAAGTAAAAATAAAACTTTAATTTTCTTTTTTTCTTTTTTGGGGACGGAGTCTCACTCTGCCACCAGGCTGGAGTGTGCAGTGGCACGATCTCGGATCACTGCAACCTCCACCTCCCGGGTTCAAGCGATTCTCCTGTCCCAGCCTCCTGAATAGCTGGGACTACAGGCGCACGCCAATACACCCAGCTAATTTTTTTTTGTATTTTTACTAGAGACAGGGTTTCATCATGTTGCAGGATGGTCTCGATCTCTTGACATCGTGATCTGCCCGCCTTGGTCTCCCAAAGTGTTGGGATTACAGGCATGAGCCACTGCACCCGGCCAAAACTTTTATTTTCTAATTACATAAGTATGTAGCTTTATAGGAAATGTGGAAAATGTAGAAAACCAGACAGAAGAAAAATTAGAAGCCACTTGAAAGGAAAACACTTTGGTACATGCATTTGCATCTATGTACTATTTTATCAGGTCTGGGATCAGGCCAAGGAGGCCAATTTTTCCCAGCCTGAATTCTAAAAGACATATTAATTATGAAAATTCTTAAACATTCATACAAATACAGAGAGTAATAGAGCAAACATTCAGATACTTGCCACTCAGGTTTCCATCTGCATGCTTTTTAAGTTTTTAAATTTTTTAGTTGGAAATAATCCCAGTTTGCATTTCCTGGGGATAGGGATATTCTCTTATTAATATAGTACCTTAGTACAGTCGCAGCTTCTTAAATTTACATTGACACAATGTTTACTTTGCCATCCATATTCCAATGTTCATGACCTAATAAAGCCCTTGGCTTCAATCTAGGGTGAAGTACTGCATTCTGTTGTCATATCTCCTTTGTGTGCTATGGTTTGAATGTGTCCCCCAAAGTTCATGTATTGGAAACTCAATCCCCAATGCAAAAGTGTTGGGAAGTGGAGCCTAAATGAGAAGTGATCAGGCCCTAGGAGCAGAGTAAGTGTCTCCATGTCATCATTGGAGTGGGTTCATTATAAAAGGGGGAGTTCAGCCCTTTTTCTCTCACCCACATGATGGAAGCCCCACGGGGAAAACAGAAGCTGCTATATTTAGGAAACCTAAAATGTTTTTGTCTGGCTGGATTTTCCAGAGTGAGAAGGGAAGGAGTGATTCAAGAGGTAAACAGGGACCCAATCACAAAGGGTTTTGCAAGAGAGCAGAAGCTTCTGTTTCATTCTGCAGGAATGGGGAGTCACTGTGCAGTGAAGGACCTCCTCAGAGGAGGTGCTGCGGGGATGGGCAAGAGGCAGTGAGAGCAGTTAGGAGGCCTTGCCATTGTGCTGACTGAAGATGGAGTTATTCATACAACGAGGGCAGAAATCTCAACAATCAAGGAGGCCATCATTAGACCAAGGTTGGCCTAGACCTTGACCTGCAGATTTACAGTGCAGTCAGGAAACATCCCTTTTTCTGGGAAACCCTGAGCATGATACTTCCTCTCTTGCCAACCTGCTGTTGCCATCAGCACTTCTGTTGCATAAACAGGTAGGATGTGTGTTGGGGGAGGTGGTGGTGGTTAATTTCCGGAAGATATAGAGCAACAATATAGCTGATGGTGTCTCCTTTCCCTGCCAGCAGTAAACCTATGAGTTTTCATCCTGCCAGAGCAGCAGAGGCCCTGGGCAGAGGCTCCAGCACCACTGTCCCACTTTGGCCCCCACAGCAGCAGGTGTGCTCCAGGGGTGAAAGAGGGGTGGCCCTTAGAGCTGTCCCTGGGAGTAAAATGTCAGGGCTGTGCCTTAGGAGAATGAGGTGGGCACCGGGCCCATTGGCGAATGGAGAAGGCCAGTTGTATCTGGGAGCCGGCGCTTCACTCATTTACCTGCTTAGTCAATCAGTGCCTATTTATTGAGCTCCTACTGTGTGTCAGGCACTGCTGGAGGTGCTGGCATGCAGCAGTGCAGGAAACGTCATGGGAGGAGAGGTGGGAGGTGGACAGTGTGTGCTAGGACATGGTAAGTACAGGTAAGGAAAGGTGTCAGCCCCTTGGCTGCTGACCCCCCACCTTAGTCCACCATTATCCACTGACTGCTGCTTCCGGACATTAGTGCTTGGAGATGAGTTGCTTAAGGCTTCCCACAATGTTCCCTTTATTCACATTTCATCTGTAAAAGACCATACATCTCACCATGATATAAAAGCTTTCATCCCAGGGACCCCCAAGGCCTGGGATCTGATTTTGGGATCACTTTCGGGATATTCCAAACACAAGAGAGACTGGGCCTTCTGAAATATGGTCCAGTCCCTCTGGACACAAAGGCCCCAGCAGGTGATAGTGGGGGAAAGTCCAATTTAGTAAGGGGACAGGTTGAGGTAGGAGTAAGGGAAAGCTACCCAGGTCCAAAGCATCACATTGCCCTGCCACGTTGCCCAGCACAGCTGCCATCACACATTGGTTGTAGCAGTGACTCCATTCACACACATATTTTTCAAACACATATTACACGGAAAACACATACAGTGAACTATGGAAAGCTAGAGGTGAATAGGTAAGGAACGGAAGGAGAAGGCAGCCAACCGAGGGCCGGACACTGTCTTCCCCAGTTCTACCACCCTGGGGCCACCCCAAACCAAGCGCACGCCACCCATATGATCCACTCCAGCTTTAGCTCACCGGGTGATCCCAGAGCTCCCAATCCTACAAAACCAGGGCATTTCTCAGAGCTGTGACTCACCATTGCTGGCGATTTTAGAAATGCACTGATGACACGTTTTCTCCAGACCTCCTGGCATTGTTCTTGCTTGCTGACAAAGTTCTGAGGATCAAAAATAATTCATTAGAAAGGATGGTGGAAGGATTTACTCAGCACCAATAACCAACGCGCTCTGTGCATGGCAGTGGTGGCCTGCAGGGTGGTCTCAGTCAGCCTGGGGGGGCTGGGTGCCAGTGTCAGGTGTGGCCTTGTTAGTGGTTAGCGGGGCTGAGGAAAAGACCCCCTATTCCACAGACAAGGGAACCAAGCTCAGGGAGGTTAAGAGGCTTGCCCAGTGATACCAGCCAGGAAGACTGGCTAGAGAAAGGCCTGGAGGGGGAGATGGTAAGAGCTCTCACTTGCTGAGCAATGGCTGCACCAGGCATTGTGTTAACTCTTTAAATAGGCCATCTCATATTGAATCCCACAACAATCCTATCTGGGAAGTGTTACTGACTGTGTTTTACAGATGGCACCTTAGAGACCCTGAGAGCTTAAGATTCACCCTAAGACCAGAGCTGGCAACTGGCAGAGCCCAAACTTGATCCAGGCATGGATCCAGGTACAGAGCAAGGGGCCCCTCACTTCCTGATGCAGCCGCTGCACTCTCCCAGGGTCCAAGCGGAAGGGGAACCATGGCCTTGACCAGGGCGGCCTGGGTCGAGACCCGAGCGGCCTGGAGCGCCACCCCGGCTCCCCTGTGGACCTGCTGTGGTCTGGGCAAATTGGTTGACACTGAGAGAAAGGACTTTCCTTCCTTGGAAGAAATAGTCAAACACATTTTAAATCCACAGAAAAACTCCAGCTCATCGACAGCAAAGTTTCCTGTCCAGTAAAATGAGGTAGCCCTGTAAAGACATTAGGAGAGGAAGGGAGTCACTTTGTCCCTGAGGCTGGGTGTGCGTAGTTCTACCACTTCCCACCATTTCGGTGCTTGGGAGTAGGGCCTCCATGGCGGCTGGCTGATCCAGGCAGGATCTGGGGCAGACAACCTTACTTCATAGACAAAGTCTCCCCAGGAACCTGTCCAGAGTAGCCGTGGCTCCATTTAAAAGCACGATTTAACAGGGTCCTTTTTTCTCATATTGCAGGGGTTTGCAAACCAGGGGACCACAGCATTTTAGCAGCACTACCTGCAGGCCCTCCTGGGTGAACTAGAGCTTAGGGCAGGGGGAACAGGCTGTGATGAGGAAGATTTGTAGTCTGAGGACAGAGGTGGTCATGATGACAGAAGGAGAGCTTGCCTTGACCAGAGTTGTGGCTCATAGCAGGCGAGTCATTCCACCGCCAGTGTCAGCATGGGCCTGCAGGCAGGAGCCACGCAGCCCGCAGCTTCTCTCTGTGGCTGATCCACTGCTAGCGCACAGGCAGGGTGGTTCGGCTGAGATTCGGGGTTCTCATTGCCCATCACTGTCCTTCTAGGACACGTCATGCTCAAAATCTGGCTTTGTGTCAGCAGAACCTTTACAGCAGGAGGCAGTGTGGCCAGAGATAGTCAGTCCCCAACCAGAGGCACATCACCAGCGCCCTGCCAAGGTCTTCCACGTTACCTCATTTAGTTTTCCTAGTTCTTCCAGAGGCAAGTATGCCCCATTTTACAGAGAAAACCAAGATTCAAATCAATTTGTTTGCTCAAAGTCACCCAGCCAGTAAGTGGTAGAACTGGGGTTGAAATGAGGCCTCAGAGACTCTATCTGAAACCTGGACTCTGTGCCTTCAAAGCCCACAATCTCTCCACTTTCACCCCAGAGCAAGAATATAAAGGGGAAGAAACCTGAAAAAGAGAGGCTTCCCAAAGTGAGTCAGGGACTAAGCAAGGAGATCATGGTGGTCAGTCCTGTCATGCTTGATCCCATTTAACCGGGCAAAGATTCTTATCCCCATTTTACAGATGAAGAAACTGAGGGTCAGAAAAGTGAAGGACTTGCCCAAGATCACACAGCCAGATTGGAATCCAGGTGTTTTGAGATCTGCCAAACTTGAGGTGCCTACTCTCTGTTAACCAGAATGGACTTTGACAGTCTTGACTGCAGTGAGATGATGGGACACAGACTGGCAGGGCTGAGCACCCAGGGTTTTCTGACCCCCCAAACCCTGGGAATCCCAAATGCAGCGCTTGGGATTCACGCGGTCCCTCTGCTGTTTCTGCCTCCTGACACAGGCTCCCCCGCCCACTCTTCTCCTGGAAGCAACTGTGGAGAATGCACATGAGTCCTTGTCTCCCTGGCACGCAGTAGGTCTTCAGTATGTTTAATGAATAATTCCATTAACTACTATTCAAATGTCTCTTCACAAGGCTCCATTTTCCCCCACAATGTCCTTGCAAAAACTGTGGCTGTGGTGTCCTTATACACAGAAAATCCAGGAACACTGCAGCCCTGAGTAAACCACAGCCTCCTTCCGCATCCTTTGACTCTGACATTCTACCGATCAAGGTGAAATGAGACCAGCTCTCTGGCCTAATGGGGTTTGCCAGGTGCACATCCTTTTGTTACACAGCAAGTAGGCCCCAAGCCATGGACAAATGGCTACTGTATGAATTACAGATTTATTGCTGATGTCCACACTTCATCAGGTTGATTGCCACAGGGGTGTCACAGAAGCTAAGCCACTTAAAACCGTGCCTGGAAGAACAACCTTCCTGGACCCAATGATAAGCCCAGTTATCTAAAGGGGCCATGGCCCATCATGGCTCCTAAAGGCCTGGAAGGTCGGCTCCTTTCCTCACCCTTCTTAGGGAACACAGAGGGTGCACTTCGCATAACAGGGAGAGTGTGCACTTCACGAACCGCAGCATTTTTCTCCTGGATCACAGAAGGGATAAAACAGAGGGAGGAGACATAGGAGCCATCTCTTTATACTTGCATGGTGGAGTTGCCACTGATTTAGAAAATTCCTTTGAAATGTGTTGAACAGTTTCCATCAGTGCCTACAAACCAAGACATTCCAGTCTTCAAATCCACAGCAGCTTTGCAGAAGCTAACGAGATTTGTCTGTGTCACATTATAACAACACATTTCTATCTTGGGCCATTCCCTGGGGTAAGAGGCACACACGTTAGCCTCCTGTGAATCCTGAAGAACAATGTTTCACCACAAAAAGTAATATAGAGCTGCATATACTTTTTTTTAAATTCAAATATCCTAAATTGGCTGATCCCTTTAGCCACTAACTGCGAATAAGGTAGAAACATCAATCTGAAAAACAGTGATATCTTCATTGATAATAATATCAGACCACATGATGTGGGAGCCAATAGAACACACCAACACAAGGTGCAGGTATTAGATCCATTTTATAAATGAGGAGACTCTTACTCCTTCAAGCTTGTTATTTTCATAAACTGGCAAGACGGATGAGAACTAAAAAAAGAATGATGTGCTGTTAATTCTGTCACACCTTAAAGAATGTTCCCTAAGAGACAGGTAGCAGCGGCAGTAGAACTCAGCTTTGGCAACCAGCCAGAAAGGGAGGACAGAATTCCCAGGTACAGTCCCAAATGCTGGCCGACAAACTTTGCATATTGTGTTCAACGTCCCTTACAAGGAATACAGTGTTACACACACACACACACATACACACACAATCATATGACCTCATGCATGTAATAATGTCTGCAGATCTATATAAACACACAGAAAAAGGTCAGAAGCATAAACAGTAAACCACTGTGAATAACTGTTCCCTATGAAGGCAGGTACAGAGATATGGGGCCACTGGGGCTGGGGTAGGCGTAGGTAGGAATGTGCCGCAGGCAGGCGTGGGAAGTATTTTCATTTCCACTTTATACTCAAATATTGCCTTGCCTTTTCCCCCATTAGCAAGTTTTACCATTATAATTTTAGACTTCTTTTTAAAACTTCTTAAAATTCAAGAAGTATTATTTGAAATGAAAAGTAGTTTGCTCTCCAGAAGTCCAGAGATTTATAAAAAGTAGCATGTAGGGGATAGATGAGCAGGAAGGAGTAAGTCCACCAGGGAGCAGAAACAAAAAGGACAGAGATGATGTGATGGTGGTAGGCAATATTTTTCTCTTTTGGAATATTTTCTTTAAAAATTACAAAAGCAAATTCACAGAAAAATTAGATCATGGAGAAAAGAAAATCATTAGTCACTATAAACAACGGCAGAACTTCTAGCCCAACAACTGCTAGTATTTTGGAGCTTTTCTTTTAAGTATATGCATATATACATATGCATATGTGCATGTACACAAATTTTACATGGTTGCAATAATCGGGCACATTAAGTGAACACATCACATTTTGACATAAGCATTCTTTCTGTCACCATTTGGTCTTCAGAACTCTCATTTTCACAGCTGAATTATAATCCACAGAGTAGGTTATATCCAACTATATTTCTCTACATCTTGTTGGATATTTACTTTCCACTCATAACTAATCCTAAGACACATGTCTCTCCATGAAAAGTGCTTTGTTTTATGCACATATAGATCTCTTGGAATAGTTATTTAATTAAAAAGCATAAGCAACTTTTTGGCTTTGAGGTAAAATTGACTTCTAAATGAGTTGTATCCATTTCCAGTGCCACTAGCAATGTGAGAGTGGCAGTTTCACCACACCTAACCAGCACTGGGTGGCTGAAAGACTAATGCATTTTTATTACTCTCATAGGCAAAAGTGGAAATTAATTATTTTAATTTACATATTTGATTGCCAGTGATATTGCCAATTCTTTCTAGACTCATTTCCCAGTTGTATGTTCCCCTTTGTGATTTGGTTTTTATGACCCATGATACGGATTTATTTCAATTCAGAGGAAGCCCACAAAGAAAGCTGCAATTTGAGAAAATAGCAGTGAATCTGCTTTTTGATTCACAGAATTCACTGTGTGAATTTGCAGATTCAGATATGCTACAAAAGACCTATTCACTACTATGGTGGGGACTTGAACAACTCACAAAAAACTGCATGTTCCTTGGAGCCCTTTGAAGTGGCAGCTCTTCCAGGAGAGGGTCCCTCCACAGCAGGAGATGCCCAATAGAGCAAATACGTACTAACGATGGATTCACGTCAATGCAATTCATTTAATGATTGACTAAAATCTGTAATGACACAGATTTTAGTCAATTTCTATACCTTCTACTAAGAAAATGGACATTTTTTTCTTATTTGATAGAAAGTTTTCTTATTTGTTAGAAATCTGAAACAGGAAGAGATTGGGGTAACAGGCTGGGCAGTACCTTCTCTCCAGTGTGAACAGGCAGTGACTTAAAAGTCCATCCTTGTGCATGCTGTGATAGGACTGTGTGTCTCACACCTGCCTCTGCACCTAGAAGGGCAGTGATAATAGCTCCTGCTGCTTCCTATCCTAGCAGCTGAGTGATAATAAAGGGCACGATGGGAATTAATCAATAATATTTGCCAAATGACATGCTCAATGCATTTTCAATTTTCAATCCAATTGATATATCTCAGTGGTTCTCAACCAGAGGTGATCTGACCCCCAAGGCACATTTGGCAATATGTGGAGACATTTTTAATAGTCATGGCTGGGGCAGGGCTGTCGATAAAGAGACCAGACATGCTGAAAAACATCCTGCAAGGAGCAGGGCAGTCCCCAACAACACAGTTATCTGCTCCAAAATGCCAATAGGACTAGATCTGAGAAACTTTCTATGTCTGTCTAATGTTCCCAGTTTTACAGTTCAAATTTGTAAAATTCTACCTTTTTTTAACCTCTGAGTTGTGTCATGAACCAACAGTAAACATATATATATGTGTGCGTGTACACATATATATATTGTGTTTTTACTGATTGGCTTGGTAAATTAAACTATTTATTCCTAAATCAACTGTGAGGACCGACTCACTCTTGGTTTTGAATAACATTGAATATTAGACATTAACCATCCCCATACCTGTTCCTTCAAAGCAGATGTTAACTAGTATTGTTGAATATTTCCAACAAACATTTTGGGTGCTCAGGACACAGTCCTTTCTTATTTGTAGCTCTCTATGTAACCTGTGCTGTTTTCTCTCCTAACTATGCCCGAATGCATGAATTCAGTGGAGGTTATTGCATACCTACTGTGTCTCAGGGTCATTCCACAACCTCCCTAGGATGCCTTCATTGTCTGGCTCCTAGGAAATGAAAAATGCACTTCCTTTTAGCTCTACCACCCCTTTAAAATGACCAAGTCAAAGCCACTTGCTCAGAGCCCCAACAGGTAAGACACGGAGGTGACGTCTGTGGTCCCCACTCGCTGTCCTGCAGCCGGCAGGTTGTTTCTAAGAGTCCCACACAACGTGCCTTCGCCCTGCAGTCATTATTCCTTTACAACTGTTCTCCAGAAAACCCACTTGCCTTAGACTCAGTGAAGATTGTTTTCTTTCCCGCCACACAATTAAGAAAAGCACTTCCACAATGCAGTCATTTTCTTTCCAGGAAGCATAAATCAGCACATTGGCATCTTCCTGGGAATGATTTCAAGAAACCCTCTGCTAGGACTCTCTCCCCAACTTCACAGGCTGTCCAGGGCTGCCGGACTCACCTGAGCTGAGCAGGGTGGGATCCAGAATCGGGCAGCACTCAGCACCTCTGTGGTCCCGGTGTTCAGGCCTGACTCTGTGAGGTTCCTCTTCACTTGGGGCTCCCACTCCCTGTCGCACGCTTTCTTTCTCCCTTTCTCTCCTGCAGCACAACAGCAACTCGTGGCTTTTCCTCTAAGGAGCGGGTTCTCTCCATTTCCCACTCCCACGTGTGGGGTGAGCAGCCCCTCCGCCTGCTCATACCCCTGCAGTGTTCCCTAGGCCCGCAGGGGGGCAGCAGAGCGACCCCGGGAGCTGTGGAAAGATGGCCGACCCCTTGGAGTTAGGAATTCCCACGGGAAACATTTCATTTCAGTCCCTTAGGCCCTAAACCTAGGGACTTAGTTCTGGTGCGAGCCCCTTCTCACCCCTTGCTCTTCCTGCATGTTGGTGGCACACAAGGACGAGAGGACCAAACAGCGGCTGCTTAGGAAATAGGGTGAAAGTACTCAAAGTGGGCTGAGGATATGAGAGGTGCCCTATGGACTCGAGGACTGCCACCTAGAAAAGGGATTAAATTGATTCCCGGTCATTGCCGGTGACAGATCTGAGGCAGAATGAAGTTACAGGGAGGCCGAATTGTGCCCCATGTCATAAACTTTGTAACAGTGGCCTTCTTAGACCTGAAGCAGGCTGCTTTGTGAGGCTGTTGTGTGTTGGTGTTGTAAGCAAGCACCTAGCAGAAGTTCTCAACTGCTGATGTGTAAGAAGTGCCAGAGATTCTTTATTGAAATGCAGATTCCTGTACCACCTCCCAAAGATTCTGAATCTGTAGATCTGGGCCTGAGCCCAGGAATCTGCAGTTTAGACTCTGCTAAGTTTCCTGTAGGTGCTCCATGAACCACACTTTGAGAAACTGGCATCACATGACATTAAAGGCATTCTCCAACCCTGACATTCCAGGTTTTTTGTTGTCATTTTGGTGGAAAAGGCCAGTCTACTGGGGAGGGACTGGGGTGAGGCAAGAGAAGAGCCTATTATGCAAAATGTAAGGAGCTGCTCCCTCTGAAGCTACCCCTGCATTGCATGCCCCTGGGAGGGCACCTCTCTGGGCTCACTCTAGGGCTGGCCCTGCCACTCTCCCAGTCCTGAATTCAAGCTGACCACTTCACACCACAGGACAGGGTGAGGCAGAGGAGCAAGGGGAGGAGACCTGCTGGAGGAAAGGACATACAGTCACAGTCACCAGCCACATAACAGCATTTCAGTCAATGATGGACCACACGGATGGTGGTTCCTTAAGATTATAATGGAACTAAAAAATTCCTATCACTTAGTGATGTCGTAGCAGTCTTAATGTTGTAGTGCAACACATTACTCATGTGTTTGTGGTGAGGTTGGTGTAAACAAACCTACTGCACTGCTAGTCACATAAAAGTATAGCACATACAATTATGGACAGCACATGATACTTTACAGTAATAAAAAACAACCAAGTCACTGCTTTATGTATTGACTACACTATACTTTTTATCATTATTTTAGAGTGTACTCCTTCTACTTATTTAAAAAAAAAAAAAAAAAAGGTTCACTGTAAAAACACCTCAGGCAGGTCTTTCAGGAGGTATCCAGAAGAAGGAATTGTTATCATAGGAGATGACAGCTGCTACCTATTATTGCCCCTGAAGACCTTCCAGTGGGACAAGATGTGGAGGTGGAAGATAGTGATACTGTTGGTCCTGACCCTGTGTAAGCCTAGGTTAATGTAATGTATGTATAATGTATGGGCTAATGTATGAGTCAAAATTTTTTAAAAAAATTATAAAGTAAAAAAGGTACAGTAAGCTAAGGTTACTTTATGATTAAAGAAAAATATTTTTAATAAATGTAGTGTAGCCTAAGTGTACAGTGTTTATGAAGTCTATAGTAGTGTGTAGTAATGTCTTAGGCTTTCACATTCACTAATCACTCACTCACTGCACCTAGAGCAACTTCCAGTCCTGCAAGCTCCATTCATGGTAAATGCCCTATACAGGTGCACCATTTTTTAATCCTTCATATTTTTACTGTACACAATGTTTAGATACACAAATACTATGTGTAGTATTTTCTATGTTTAAATACACAAATACTGTAGTGTTACAACTGCCTACATTATTCAATACAATAACATGCCATGGTCTCTGGCCTTTTAGGAACAGTACTAGTCCCTAGCCTTTTAGGAACTGGGCCCCACAGCAGCAGATGAGTGGCAGGTGAATAGTCATTACCACCTGAGCTCCACTTCCTGTCAGATCAGCAGTGGCATTTGATTCTCACAGGGCCACAAATCCTATTGTGAACTGTGCATGCCAGAAATCTAGGTTGCACACTCCTTATGAGAATCTAATGCCTGATGATCTGAGGTTGAATGGTTTCATGCCAAAACCTTCCCCATCCCCACCCTCATGAAACCGGTCTCTGGTGCCAAAAAGACTGGGGACCACTGGGTGTGTAGTAGGCTATACTATGTGAGTTTGTGTGAGTACATTCTATGACGTTCACACAATGGCAAAATTGCCTAATGTCACATTTCTCAGAACATATCCCCATTGTTCAGTGATGCATGACGGTACTTGAATCTTCTCTTATCTCACATTGAGTGAGTGGAAGCAGAGTGACTGTGAGCAGCGAGGTCAGAGCCTTAAGGCTTCCCTGCTACAATGGTGGGGGTCTGGGAGCACAGAGTGACCATTAGCCTGGCGTGGACGTGGCCAAAGGGACAGTAGTCCTTTTTGAGCACATTTTAGCCCAGACATCAAAACAAACAAAATTTCGGGTGATGAGGCAGTCTTCCTGGGAGTTCAGGAAGGGAGAAAATAATGGCAGGTCACTCAGGAGCTTTCCCACATGTCCCTGAAGATGCAGCAAAACATCAAAGAATATTTTTCCGCCAAACCAGACAACTGTATTTGTGAGTATAGAAATAGGAGATTTTTGTCAGGGAGAAAGTAGGAGTCGTCTTTGGAAAGTGATTATGAGACTCCAAAGCTAATGATAAATGATAGTAATAATAATAGCTGTATCAGTTAGGAAAACAGGGGGAATTTAATATAGGGATACAAGAGCCACAGAAGAGCTGAAAAATCACGCACAATGTTATGGTGGAGTAACCCAGAGATTAGCAACTGAGAGTGGAAGCAGATGCTAACCCTAGAGATGTGAGTGGAAGACCACCACTGGAAATGCTGCCCAAAGCAAAGTAGGTGCGATTAATACCCCCACTTCACAGATGAGAAGCATGAAGTACAGAGAGATTAAAGGCACATGGCTACTAAGTGTGTAATGAACTTAAACTCAGACCATGTGATAAGAGTCCACATATAGCACCACTACACTACTGCCATATGAATAAAGGGCACATGGGGGGAGATGACAGTAGAATTGAGTGAAAGCTGAATTCAGAGTATAATTTTTTTTTTTTTTGAGACAGAGTCTTGCTGTGTCGCCCAGGCTGGAGTGCAGTGGCGCCATCTCAGCTCACTGCAAGCTCCACCTCCCAGGTTCACGTCATTCTCCTGCCTCAGCCTCCCGAGTAGCTGGGACTACAGGCACCCGCCACCAAGCCCGGCTCATTTTTTATATTTTTTAGTAGAGACGGGGTTTCACCGTGTTAGCCAGGATGGTCTCTACCTCCTGACCTCGTGATCCGCCCATCTCGGCTTCCCAAAGTGCTGGGATTACAGGGGTGAGCCACCGCGCCCGACCCAGAGTATAAATTTTTAAATGCTTGGTTTTAGTTGAGGTGGTTCTCCTGGTAAAAGCGAGTTCATTCATTCATTGAATGAATACTGCTGACTCCAAGTCAGATACTGTAAGTAAAAAGATTACTTAATAAAATTCAATGTATCCCATAAGTAATTTTGATGCAAAAGAGTAGTGAGTGAATGAGCATGTGCCTGAGTTTAATTACAAAGGCAACTGTGAGTTAATGAAGGTAGGCCTGACTTTTTGATGGAAGCTGTAGAAATGAAGGGAGATACTAAAGTTGCCCAAAGACCAGATTGTGCACCCCATAAGGAGCAATCAGAAAGCCGAGGGACACTGATGAGTGTTCACACTTTTTCCCAAGATTGCACAAAAGGTTGTCTTTCTCTTCATCTTTGCTTGTGTGTTATTCCTCAACAAATTAATTCTATGTAAACATCCTAATTCTTTTCATGCTTTCTTTGGAAGTTTTCCATTCCGATGTCACTCTTCTATTTGAGTCACCTTTTCTATATTTACCATCTATTCATCCTGGCGGCTTCCTAATTTGGGAGAAAACCTTCAGGGTTCCTCACTTTGACTTCTACCTGAGTCAAAAAGCATTTCAATAGAAGTTTTCATTTTCTTTTTGACTTTTCCCAGCATTTTAATTTTCCGGAGGACAATTTAAGAAAAAGAGAAACAGAATGTGTGGTCCCAAAAGTAGTTCACAGTCCAGAAGAAGAAGAATTAAACGACAGGCAACGCCTGACCCATGCTGCAATCTTGAGGCCATTATGCTAAGAAATAAGCCAGCCACAGAAAGACGAATGCTGTATGACTCCACTCACGTGAAGCATATCGAATAGTCTACGCTCATAGAAATGGAAGTAGACTGGTGGTCACCAGGGGCTGGAGGAAGGGGAGCAGGAAGAGCTGCTGTTTACGGGGTGTGGCATTTCAGTTTTGCAAGAAGAAAAAGAGATTGGTTGCACAACAATATGAGTATTCTTAACACTACTGAACTGTACATTTTTCAGTGGTTAAGATGTTGAGTTTTATGTTATGTGTATTTTAGCACAATTTAATAAGCAAACAAACTCCTGGATCTGAGAGGCTGGGGGAGTCAAGCCCTAACATTCTAAGGGCGCTGTGGAACCGGATAGTTGTCCAAGGTGCTCCGGAAAATCCCGGGGTCTCTTCAGCCCCAATTTCAGCGGTCACAGAGGCACTGTGGGAGGGAGGATGCGCGGACACGCCACTGTGAGGTTTCCCGCCTCAACCCTTTTACTCAGGTCTAAAGTGGCGCCTTGGAGTAGGCGTGAGGAAAGGAATAACTCCGGTCTTCGTGTCCCTAACCTACGCTCCAAGCCCGAGGGTCTAAGTTCCCAGGGGCGAGTGTCGGGGTTGGGAAAATTCACAGCGCCACCTGCTGGCACCTCTTTGCCCTCCTTCCCTGCCGCCTCCTGCTGTCTGTGGCCTCTCGGTGGGACCTGGGCCGTCTCTTTCAGAAACAGGATGGACGCGGTGGCTCAGGCCTGTGATGGAGCACTTCGGAAGGCCGAGGCAGGAGGATCGCTTGGGCCCAGGAGTTTCAGACCAGCTCAGGCAACGTATTGAGACTAAAGAACAAAATAAAAAATTAGCTGGGCATGGGGGTGAGTGCCTGTAGTCCCAGCTACTTGAAATGTTCCCCTGGAGAAAGAAAAACTCTTCTGTAATTTTGTTTGAGATAGCATTAAGTTTATACATAAATTTGGGGAGAATGGCATTCTACTATTATCAACTACAATTGTAAGTTGTTTCTCTCTCCTCTTCTTTATTAGGTATTCAGCCAAATCACCTATAAGTAATAATGATTTCCTTCTAATATTTATACTTGTTTTATTTCTTTTTGTTGTTTGTTTTTTGAGACGGAGTCTCGCTATGTCGCCCAGGGTGGAGTGCAGTGGCCGGATCTCAGCTCACTGCAAGCTCCGCCTCCCGGGTTTTTACGCCATTCTCCTGCCTCAGCCTCCCGAGTAGCCGGGACTACAGGCGCCCACCACCTCGCCCGGCTAGTTTTTTGTATTTTTTAGTAGAGACGGGGTTTCACCGTGTTAGCCAGGATGGTCTCGAACTCCTGACCTCGTGATCCGCCCGTCTCGGCCTCCCAAAGTGCTGGGATTACAGGCTTGAGCCACCGCGCCCGGCCAATACTTGTTTTATTTCTTTGCCTGATTAATTGGCTGTTATTTACAAAACGGTGAGTGCTATCCACTTTGTCTTGTTCTTTATTTTAATAATGTCTTCTGGGATGTTTTTAAAGAATGTAAAAACTAGGCCGGGCGCGGTGGCTCAAGCCTGTAATCCCAGCACTTTGGGAGGCCGAGACGGGCGGATCACGAGGTCAGGAGATCGAGACCATCCTGACCAACCCGGTGAAACCCCGTCTCTAGTAAAAAAAAATACAAAAAAAATAGCCGGGCGAGGTGGCAAGCGTCTGTAGTCCCAGCTACTCGGGAGGCTGAGGCAGGAGAATGGCGTAAACCCGGGAGGCGGAGCTTGCAGTGAGCCGAGATCCGGCCACTGCACTCCAGGATGGGCGACAGAGCCAGACTCCGTCTCAAAAAAAAAAAAAAAAAAAAAAAAAAAAAGTAAAAACTAGACAAGTGCCCTGTCCAGTCAGAATGAAGGCACCAGTCAGCTGGTACACTTACATCAATGTGCAATTATGGGCACACAGTAAGCCCTGAGTCTTTTGTCATCAAGCATAATGTTTGCTGATTTGTAATAAATTTTAAATACTATTTTAATTCTTATTTTACCAATGATTTTTTCTCAGGATAGAGTCAAAGGTCTTTGTAACTTGGTTTGGACCTATCTTTCCAGTCTGGTATTTCTCAACATGGCTCAGCAGGCACCTAGCCCCCACTAAGTCCTTCAGCCACTGTCCAGCATTTGAAATGCCCAGTTATGTGAAACAAGAGTTTCCAGATCTGATCCCCGCAGCTCCCATGCCCTTCTCATGGGATGTTCTCTGTCTGAGAAACCCTTCCCACTAATAACTTGGAAAAGCCCCCAGTTTTCAGGACGTGGCCTGGTCCATATCTTCTCTGAAGTCTTCTTTGGCTATCTCCTGCTTTCTGTGCAATCAGTTGAACTCCAATCAAGAAAGAGTTGGTCCCTTTCTCCTTTGCACACCCTCAGTGTATCCTGGATACACTTCTAGTATGGTGTTTTTTACACTATATTTGCATTTGTTTCCATTTCTTCTGCATTTGTGGACTGTGAGCGCTTCTTAACACTGAGCACAAGGTTTGATGCTTAATTAGCACTTGACCAATATTTGTTGAGTGAATTCATAAATTAATGAATGAAAAAGTAAATGACTGTCACTCTTAGCACAAAGATTTATCATGTAAAACTAATATTTTTTAAAATGTTAAATGGTTGCATTTTCATTTGCCTTAACTTTTGATGCCATGGTAAAGAAAAGAGCAAATATCACTGTTCCGATGATCTATTGGAGCATAACTGCGCCAAACAAAGGAGTATGAAAAATTACGACCATTAATTATTATACTGTCTCTCAGTTCCAGGGGTTGGCAGGGCTCCACTGGGAGGTTTTCACTTGGGTCT